GGGGCAGCCTTCCCCCGCCGCGGCGCGCACGGGACGGGACGCGGAGCTGGGACCTCCCTCCCGCGCCCTGGTCCCCGAGGCCCCCAGCACCAGCCAGAAAATGACTTTATCTGCTAGGGAGAGGCAAGTTGGGGAGGCAGAGCAGCGTGAACCCACTTCTCCGCAGCTGCCTCCCCGCGAATAAATAAAACCCTAAGTGTCTAGGTGTGCGGTCCCCTCTCGAGCTCCCCAGCTCCCCTCCCTACCTCCCCCAGGCGGCTCGGGCAGGGGAGAGCAGCGCCCGGGGGGCCCTCGGTGCGGGAGGCTGGTGCGCAGGCAGAGACCTGGGGCTTCAGCTTTCCCAGCCCCCCGCTATGGAGCAATCTGGGGACCCAGGAGAAGGAAGAGAGTCGGGGCTTTGTGGTGCTGGGAGCTGAGGAAGAATGAAATGTGCAGTTGAGTGTGTGGCTCGCATCCCAGGGAGCAGTGCCGTGCTGATTGTCTGTGGCTGAGATAGCCTTTTGTTCGCAACATAAGGTTTAAGAAACACACACACGTTTTCTGGGGTCTCTTGTTAGATGTAAATGTGCTGCATCCAGACGCTTACTATGCAGTGTAAGCTCAGTTGGTTTACTAATCACCCCGCCCCACCCCCAAACAATCAGGATCATTTGAATGGGAACCTCATTCAGACTTCTAGGCTGAGAGGATTGCCTTCAACCTATTTCATCCTAGACTAGCCAACCATCCAACTGAGATAATAAAGCAAACAATAACATTTGATCATGATGTCTACGAGATAATGTGCCCGGGAAAGTTCTTAAGGAATTGTAATGAGAGAAAGAGAGAGTTGGGTAATAATTCCTCTTCATTTTCATTAAATATGACTTTAATAGATAAATGGTGAGTTTATACTTTGGCCTGGTGGACAGCCAGTCCTCTATATTTCAACTAAACTAAGAATGAAAGAGGCAAATTATGCGTTCGACCAGGAGGCCATCTAGCTGAAAATGTTACCTTTGAAGGTTGGAGCTGAAAATGCACTTGTTTAGGGCGAATGCCCTTCCTAAGTGTCCGCTTCTCTGCCAGCTTCCCGGCTAGGGCTTGAATAGATAGAATCGCTGCTCTCATAAAAGGCCAAACATATACTTAGGAATTAATTTCATTCTTCATTTGAGATTTCCTTGCATCTCAATAGATGAGTTTATCACAATCAAAAAATTAAATAGTGAAATCTGAGCAGAGGACAATCAACGCTGGAAGTACGGTGTGCCAGAACATATTTGTAAGCGATGAGATTTTTATTTGGAATAGATTTTGACCTGACTGCGCTTCTTTTTTTTTTTTTTTCAAAAAGCTAGGATTGGAAATAAAGCAGAAGAACTTTATTCTGAGGGAGCAGAGAACACTGAGATGATTCTCTTTACATTTTAGAAGATATGATTTAATGCGATACCGAGAAAAGTTGTTCATTGGGTTTTATCACAAAGAAATACGTGTAGGAAAGTATCTGTGGGTCGCTGTTGCAGAATGTGCAGGTGACTTTTGTTTCAATCTCCAAATCACTCTTAATTTCGTTTATTACCCATTTGTGAGGTGACATGCTGAAGTCTCCAGCACATATATAGTTGCTCTCTGTGCCAGACAGGCAGGACTGCCCTGTCCTTGTCTGCTGAAGAAAAAAAAATCTAAGAACTAATCAACCTTCAACATTAAATTCCTAAGACTGAAATTAGAGATCCTGGTCTAGTTTAGAATACTAATGTAAGTATCAGTACACACACACACACACACACACAAACACACATATTATAAAGATATAAATATATCACCATACCCTGGACACAAATACAATGCGTTATGATGACATATTTAAGGTAATTCCCTAGCACAATCTAAAACAAAATAGTCCATGTCCTTTAGAAGAGAAAAAGTATGATGAACAAAAGTTCATTAATAGATAATAGCTAGCACTTTCTTCAATTTCCTTATGTATTCATTGAAATATTATTAAATCCATTGTTCAACCTACCAACGCATATAATTTAACTGTAAAGTTACAAAAAGGAAAAAGTCCTCAGCAGAGCACTGTATGTATTTACAAAGTTTTAAATTGTCCAAAGTCTAATATACCCCAGAGGAAAGAGGTCTCACATAAAAGCATACACATTATGGATTCACATACATAATAAAAATCCACAGAGGACTTGCCCTGAATGATTTCTAAGTTTTACTTTTATATATAAGCAAAATTTGCTTTTCTCCAATTACTTTGTGTAGAATTTAAAAAAAAATGTTTTTCACAAAGGCTTTATGGCTCTGCCTGCCATGTTTATATTTTTTTATAACACTCTTTAGTTATGTACCAAGAATAAATAGCATTGGAGTGGCCATCGTATTCCATTTCCGTTCATCATTAAAACTTACAAGTCCTGTCTGGCTGAAACCAATTTCCTTTTCGACAATATGTATTACATAACTTTTCTTGCAAAGCATGAGTGTTAGAAATTGAGCATTAAAACAGATTGAGCTTCCAATCAAGGCAACACTTAATTCAGGAAGAACCAACTTGACTCAACCATCCTGTTGTGCTTGGGACACTCCGCCTTGTTCCATCTTCACTTTTTAAATCGTGAAGACATCAAAACATAAACAACTGTATTTGAACAAGTTGCATTTCTACATGGTACATCCTGGCTATGGCTTTTTAAGAAAATCAGAAGGTAACAAGCCTATTGTTCTCTCTGAGGATCAGTATGTGACTGAACATATATGTGAGTGTATATGGTTATGTTTCTCAAGCTGAGAAGAGTTCTATTTTCCCTCCTCCTCATCCTCAAGGTAGTATAAGTAATAACAAAAGTGAAAAATAAGACAATCATGAAGGAGGTAACTGAATTTGATTTTGCAGATGACTGTTCCCTGACCCTCATTAGACTAAGGAGATCTAAGCTAGGGAAGGTATAGGATGGGTATTCATGTCACAGAGAAGAACAAGCAAGATGACCTCAGGTACAGGGGTCAGGAAGAACACAAATATTGGATACTATACAGAAATGCAAGCATAGCAGGCTACTGTGTATAGTTTTCATAAAATGCTGTACATAACTTAATTTTAACTGCTATATTTTAATCTGAAACTTATGTTTAACATATATATTCATAAAATAAACTAATCTCTTCTTCTAAACTATTTAGTAGTCACTGATTAAAATCAAGGCAATCTAGATTTTAAGTATTCCAGTAATGAAAATTGTCATGGAATAATTTTAATGCATCTTTAAAATCGAAGATTATTTAAAGGATCATTATCTGCACTTGAATCCAGTTAAGGTGATTCAAAAGTTTCTAGACAACACCCTCCTCCCAAGAGAAGCAAGTGTAAACCTTGACCTTACTGAGTAAAATTACTGAAATTGCTCAGAATTATGTGTGAATGCAGACACTGTCAAATCGGTCTAGGATGCTTCATGTAGCCCCTTACTAACCCAACCCATGCTGGCGTGATAGTCACCTGAAATATTCCCTTAGCTATGCAGAGATGTATTCTTCGGACGATACATGATAGTGTATGTTTTCCAGACTTTCATTCACATATATTTAAAGTATCCATACGGTTGATTGTAACTTCTGACTGACGGTCCTTTCATGGTTCTCAATTTCATTCAAAAAGTACATACTGAATATTGTGCTAAAAATTGCAGATTTAAACAAATCTGATGTTAATATTTTATGGTTAAAGTCAGATAGCACAAAGTATATATTGGAGGTGCATTTGTAAAAGATTCTGGGCAGAAGGGGAATAAAAGAGTTTTGTTTTGCTTTCTGTTCATGAAGGGGTACAGTTTCTCTGGACTTGGTGGTCTCATTTATCTTCCAAAACATGAACTACTATGGTTTGCACACGCTGTCCTGTTTCTCTTCTCTGTTTCCCTTGTCCTTTTGCCTTATACTTTGGTTAGTCCCACCTCCTTTTGTGTAGGCTGATTTGCTTTAGGGTTGTATGACTGACCTCTTCTAATTTAGGAACTATTCTTCTGGGTTCTCATCAAAACCTGTATCTTTAGGCCCCTTCACAACTGTGCAAAAGTACCTCTGTGCCTGACTCTATTATTAGGTAGTAAGCCTCCTGAGGGTAGGCAGGCATCCGTCTTCACTTTTCCTAACCAAATGCCTTAATTAACACTGAAACTTGTAACTATTTGTAAAAAATGAATGATTCCATGATAGGAGAAGTCATTTCTCCATGAACAGAAAACAGAAATTGTGGGTGTTTGCTGGAAACTGGTACTCTGGTCTGTCTGTATCTCTGTGACACCGGGGCCAAACGTGTGTGGGAAAGAGAAATGGTTATGAGAAGAAGGAGTCGGGTCCTAGTCAAGAAGTCTGCATTTCAATAGGTAGGCAAGAAGAAATTCTGGATGGTTTCCAAGCAAGGGGTTTATGTGAACTTAGCCCTGCTTTGAAAAAATGATGCTTACAGAACCAGAAGTGGGAAACCAATGGTAAAGCTATTGCAGTCTTCGAACACATTTACTGGTCCCTCAAATTGTCGATGTTTCTGGAATGTTCGCTGATGCTTCCTTGCCTTTATTTTTTTTTTTAAAAAAAAAAGAGGGTC